CAAACAGGGCATTAGCGCTCGATTCAGTATGGTGCTGCAAAGAAATGAAAGAGTAGGAGATGATGAAGAGGTCACTTTACCCTCACTGGTCAAAACAAGAGCTCTCTAATTACTACACGTCTTCCCTTAATTCTGGTCTGTGAGTAGAAATGAGTCTCTTTTCATTCAGGGATTTCTCTCCGCAGGAGTGCACAGGAGCAAAACTGCGGTTCTAGAAAGACGCCGTTTTTTTTAACCAACCCTAACATTCACCTCTGATGTTTTGGATTTTTGTTGATATACCCAACTATACCTGCAGGAAATAGGCTAAGTACAGAAGACAACCTGGAAAACAAGAAAAACAAGACTAGGTCAACACCTGGCGGCATTCACTCAGTCACAGACTGTTGCTAGGACACCTAAAACACACATAAAACATGGCTTAACAGTGACAACATTAAACAAAAGTACAAAATTCAGCTCCATTTTAACTCACAGGGTTCAAAGACAAAACAACTGCTGGACACTTCTTCCCTTATTAGCATAATTCAATGGCATTTTGAATTGCATAAATTATCTTAGCAGATAGCAAAATTTGCCACCAACGTTACTCCTATGAAGCTGCGAACAACAGCAACAAAGGTTATGTTACAAAATTTGGCTCCATTATAATTCACAAGGTTTACCAACAAAACAGCCGTCTTACAACTGACACAGTTTCCCCACCTAGCATGCTAACTAATTAGCATGATTCTGCATTCTATTTACCTCAGAAGTTGGAGGTCGGAGCTACGAATGATGCTGTACTCAACTTGATCTTGTTCCAGTACAACAAGATGGAAAACCAAGATGTTAGCAATACCATTTCAAGCAAGGTTAGCCATTGTTACCAATACCAGTTAAAAACAACAAATTGTGCCGTATGTTGTGCATAAAAACACTGTAGCAGCATGTCACTGACATAGTTTTGCTTTGATAGGGCTGGCCTTGCATTCTGCAAAATAAAGGAAGAGGGTATGTAAAGGGAAGGGGCCAGAGAAAATAGAATAATGTTAGGGAAGGTTTTGGCTTGAAAGATTCAACTCCTCTCTACCCCAGTATTTTTTGTACAGTCCCTAAAGAAACAAATAATCTACTCACCATGAACATTTTAATATGAACTGATGCATTTTGAATACAGGTTGTCATGTGCAATAGGAAGTGTTTCATCTTCTGAGTCAGAGGATAAGTGTGAAAAGTCTCACCAGGAAGTAGCAGGTAATGTTGAGTTGAATAGTACAGGTGTAAACAAAAAAGAAGAAGAAAAAAACAGATGAGAAAATAATACAACACAAGAGCAAAGAGTAAGGAAACCATCAAGGTGCAATACTGAAGTTGTCAGCCATGAGATATTATTTTTCTCTGAAATAGTGATAACAGACGACATATTAACAGCCAGCAGAAGAAAAGTATCACTTCATTCAGTATTTGAGGAGGTTTTAGTATAGTAGTAATCAAAAATCATGAAAAAAAGTCATAGTATAGTATGTCATCCAAAACCATGAAAAACAGTCAGAGTATAGTATGGAATCACAAATCCTGAAAAAAAAAGTCATAGTATAGTATGTCATCAAAAATTATAGCATGTCGTCCGAAATCATGAAAAAACGTCATAGTATAGCATGTCATTCAAAATCATGGAAAAACGACATAGTATAACATGTTCCCAAAAATCATTAAAAAACATCATAGTATAGCATGTCGTCCAACATCTTGAAAAAAGTCATAGCATAACATGCTGTCAAAAACCATGAAAAAACGTGATAGTATAGTATGTTGTTCAAAATCATGAAAAAACATCGTGGTATAGCATGTCGTCCGAAATCATTAAAAAATGGTCATAGGACTGATGTCTTCAAAAATTATGAAAAAAAAGTCACTGTATTTCATGTCGTTAAAAATTATGAAAAAAAATCACAGTGTAGTATGTCGTCTGAAATGATAAAAGAAAAGTCATTGTATAGCATGTCGTCCAAAATCATTAAAAAAATGTCATAGTATTGTATGTCGTCAAAAATCATGAAAAAAAGTCATAGTATATCATGTAAAAGTTATGATAACACGTCATAGTATAGTATGTCGTCTGAAATCATGAAAAAATGTCATAGTATAGCATGTCGCCCAAAATCATGAAAAAAATGTCATAGTATAGCATATTCTTCAAAATTATGAAAGAACACCATAGCGCAGCATGTCGTCAAAAATCATGACAAAACATCAGTATGTCGTCTGAAATAATCAAAAAATGCCATAGTATAGCATGTTGTCCACCATCATGAAAAACCTCATAGTATAGTATGTCTTCAAAAATCATGAAAAAACCCCCACATAGTATAGCATGTCATCACAAATCATGAAAAAACATCATAGTTTAGTATGTCGTCTGGAATCATTGAAAAAAAAAAAAAAAAGTCATAGTATAGCATGTCTTCAAAAATCATGAAAAAACGACATAGTACAGCATGTCATCCAAAATCATTGAAAAAAAGTCATAGTATAGCATTGTGTCATAATTAATGAAAAAAAGTCATAGTATAGCATGTTCTTCAAAATTTTGAAAGAACGCCATAGCATAGCATGTCGTCAAAAATCATGACAAACCATCATAGTTCAGTATGTCGTGTGAAATAATCAAAAAAAATGTCATAGTATAGCATGTTGTCCAAAATCATTGAAAAAATGTCACAGTATTGTATGTCTTCAAAAATCATGAAAAAAATCGTCATCGTATAGCATGTTCTTCAAAATCATGAAAGAACGTCATAGCACAGCATGTCGTCAAAAATCATGAACAAACGTCATAGTTTAGTATGTCTTCAAAATCATGAAAGAACGCCATAGTATAGTATGTCGTCTGAAATCATTAAAAACATGTCATAGTATAGCATGTTGTCCAACATCATGAAAAACATCATAGTATAGTATGTTGTCAAAAATCATGAAAAAAAGTCACAGTATAGCATATATCGTCTGAAATCATTAAAAAAATCCATATTAAAGTATGTCTTCAGAAATCACGATAAAAATGTCATAGTATAGCATGTTGTCAAAAAACATGAAAAAAAGTCCAAGCATAATTTGTCGTCAAAAACATGAAAAAAAGTCATAGTATAGAACGTCGTTCAAAATCCTGAAAGACTGTCATAGTATAGTATGTTGTGAAAACCCATGAAAAAAGTCATAGTATAGTATGTCATCAGAATTTTCATGAACAATGAAACAGAAAAGATGATGAATCATGAAAAAAATTCATAGAACAGCATGTCCTCCGAAATAATAAAAAGTCATAGTAGTCATGACAGCATTTTGTCAAAAACAACAAAAAAAATCAAGAAAAATGTCATAACTGGTATATCATCAGAATTTTAACAAAAAAATGTTATACTATAGTAAGTCATGGCAAAAATCATATAAACTGTATAGTGTTGTATGTTGTGGAAAATCGTAGGGAAAGTCATAGTATACTGTGTCGTCAAAAATCCTGAAAAAAAGTCACAGTATAGTATAAAAAGTAATGGAGTGGAGATTGTTATTTTCCTTAAGTGTGTTTTGACTGCAGTTCTCTGCTTCACTACATATCACAATCTCATCCATCACTGAGGATAAATGGAGTCATTAACAGGGAACACTAGTCAGTCAGCAGAGCAGAGACAAAGGAAAGTCAAGTATGAAAGACTAAACTGACTTGACTTTAAAAGTTTGTTCTGCAGTTTTTAAAATAAAATCCATGCTGAGATATCAGAAACATAAAACACCCACACCCACATACAGTGCTGTGCTGTCTGTGAGATTTGACGACCCCATAACTCAAATATTACATTTCAAATGTTGAGAATCTGTCAATACTTTCGGGGAAAACCATTTGTTATCATGCAACAACACTAAGTCTTGAATTGTAGCTGTACTGAACTGCACTTGAAATTTAGTGAAGAAATGGACATGTGCTTCATTGAGGATCTTTGTTATTCTCTGTGGCAGGGAGACAGCTGTAGTGATCAAAACATATTCTTCCTAACAACAACATTTTCCATTTTCTTGTCTTTCATTAAGCATCAAAACTGGCTCACAGTGAACGATCCTCACAAGATGGCACCCCAAAAAACTGACACAGTGTCAACACATTCTTTATTGCATTCAAATTCAAATATTTGATTTATATAATATAATGTAATATAATAATTCATTGGAGTTATATCATAAATGTTTGAGGAATTTTGCACAAGTGCAATTTTTAAATTAACATTTGAAAAAGCAAACAAACAAAAAAAAACTCTGTAGCCCCTGCAGTACCCCAAAGTACCCCTAGGGTTCCTCATACCCTTTTTGGGTAAGAGCAAGTGTGTTTGTGTTTGGTTCTGACAGAGTATGAAATAGCTGACAGTGTCAAACTTAAGACTCAAACATGGAGTAAAATCATGGCAGCCATTCCAGTTTCTCTAGATCCAAAATTCACATCCAACCTTTGTTGTTGTTTCTCTACATTTAATTACAAAGGATGAAATGCTGACAAAAATCCAGAAAAGGGTAAATACACAAATCAGCCGAAACATTAAAACCATTGACAGGTGAAGTGAATTCATCATCTTGTTACACTGCAATGTTCTGCTGGGAAACCTGGGGTCCTGGCATATATGTGGATGCCACTTGACACGCACCATCCACCCAAACACCACTGCCAACCAAGCAAACCTCCTCATGGCAACAACACTCCCCAGTGGCAGTAGCTTAACGTCACTTGTTGGTATCCAGATGGCCTCTCAATGATGTTATGAGGCAGCAGCTTTCTTTACAATGGCGCCCTCTTGTGGTTTTTCTCTTTATCACCAGGAATACTTTGACCATACAGTAACACAGGACAAATGATTTGATAATAGTTAATTATAAATGATGGAGTAATCAATCAATATAAATAAAGTAAGCTCAGATGGAGCTCTTTGTAAAATAACTGATTTTTGTGACCATATAAAAGAAAAACAGACATCTTTTGACTTTTTTTAGTATGTTTATTTTTTTTTTCAACTTTTTTTTCTTTAAAAAATGACAAGGTCCAAGTATTTTGGAAGCCCCGCCCTCACCCTATGTTCCCCAGCCGGCTAGCTCGACTCTAAAGCAACCAGCAAAGAAAAATAGTCATATGGACAATTGATAATATACACCCCATATACAGCAATACATAGTGGTCTACCATAATGTTACCAATAATACGCGACCTCCAATGAGGCTTCAATTCAAACTGTTGCCGTTGATATGGTTCATTTCATTTCAAAAGCAACTGCCAGCCAATAACAGCTGTGTTTTTTGACTAGTGTGGGTGGGGTTCAGGTTGCCGCGGTGAGGCGACGAGGTCACACCATCAACGGCTCAGCTGATTGACAAAACACATGGCGGCTCTTGCTTAGCCTCAGAACAGCGTTAAGATTCGGCTGCTGACCTGAACGTCCCCCCCTTCAAACCAATCAGATTCAGCATAAGTGCAAAGTTATGGAGGCACTGACACACACTCTGTTTTCAGGAGGAGCCCGAGTAAAGGTCACTGACAGTCCATCCTTGGCTCTACTCTGTCAAACCGTTTCCAAGGGTTGAAATGTTGCATTACAGTGATCTACAGTATCCTGCTGTACTCTTTACCCTTTGTAACGCAGGTCAGGACACATGAAAATGGGATTTTATCAGCTTGGATGTGAACAGTCTGCTGCATGGATCCCCATAGAATTAAATTTCAAAAAGTCCACTTCAGTTCCACCAAGTCCAAGTCCTTTCTATGAATTTAACTTCTATGTTTATTCTCATTTCACCTCACCCTGCATACAGTAACAGCAAGTGAAAGACAGGACGAACTGCGTACATGTGTGTGTGCGTTTGCATGTGCCAGTGACCCCCGCAGTGGTAGAGACAGCATAGAAAAGGTTTCTATATGTGCATGAAATAAAGACGGCGCCTGTACACAGTGTGAGCGAGTGCGTGTCCATCTGTGCGCAGGGCTACAGACACGACTCCCAGTGCAGCTGCAGGTCCGTGCTGTCCAGGAAATCGGTTGAGAAGACGCTCGGCGGAGTGTGCGGCACAAGCGGGGCCAGGCTCGTCCCCCCGTCTCCGTCCCCGGCTCCCGCTTCTCCTCCTCTACCCCCTCCGCTGCCCCCGCTGCCTCCGCCGCCGCTCCCCACCATGGAGATATCCAGCCAGTCCATGCTGTCCAGGGTGGGGTCGCCAAAGTCCAGCCCTGTGGAGTGGGGGGAGAAGCCCAAGTCAGATGTGTCCATGGGGGAGGGAGGGTGGTCCAGGATGCTGGGAGTGCTCAGCATTTGGCTGTGAAGGTCATCGATCAGCGTCAGGCCACCGTCGGGCTCCACGCCCAGCAGCGGGGCGCCTGTGGTGCTTTCCAGGAAGTCTTCCAGGCGTCCGCTGCCTGTGCAGGGCTCTCCTGCAGGAGGCTGAGGGGAGATGAGGGGCTCTGTGGGGGTAGGAGGGGAGAGGTGGAGAGGAGATGGGGGAGAAGATGGGGAAGGCGGGTCAGAGTGGAGAGGGGCGAGTGAAGGGTCCGGGTTAGCTTTGAAGCCGGGGATTTCTAAAGAAGGTTGGAGAGAAAAAAAAATATCATCAGCACAGGAAACGACAGACTCATAATGTCTTTCTCTTATTAATATTTAGAGTTTATTACCTCCGCTCTTGAGCAGGATGTCAAACAGGTCGTCCATCTGCTGACTGTTGACGCCATTCTCCTGCTAACAGAGAGGAAGAGTATTTCAGTCAGCCTCTAATTACACACTGAAACACCACTGGATTTTCCACAACACAATCTTGCGCCACAACACAAACTCCCTCTTAAACACCCAAAAACGATGCTCAGCAATTTTTTCACGGTTTCATGCTGTTCAAACTAAAATAAGGCTTTGCTATTAGCTTGGAATCTAAAGCAGTGGCAGATAGAAATGCTTCACAGACCGGAAAACAATGTGTTGTGTATTAAGCAACAAATGTGACTCTCACTTTCTCTTTACTGGAAACCACGTGACTGACCACCAGCCACTTTTTCTACCTCACATATCTCACATCTGAAGCAACAAGCAGCAACAACTCTGAGAAACTGACACTTTTCCCATAATGCTTTGAATGTGTAGACGATTATATAAAAGCAGAGACTGAGACTAGGCAACATCGAAAATGTAAACATTTTCCTTTTAGTCAGACACTAATTGGAAACACATTCACAGTTGAACATTATCACACAGTAAATCAAGTCACACCACTGCAACCTCTGCCCAACATTTTCCAACTGCCGTCTGAGCTCAGTAACACGAGCGCACGGCTCAGCGTGAGAATCTAAGATGGAAAATGCAGGAACAGACAGAAACAGAACGACACCAAAGGACAGATGGAAACAAAGACGTGCTGGAGGACATACTTTGGAGCGCTGAGTAGGAAGGGAGGTGTTGGGTTTGGGAGAGGGAGGGGTGAACAGTGTGTGCCGGTCGTAAGGCGGACACACCTCCTCTCTCTGCGAGGATGGAGTGATGGAATGAAAAGAAAAGAGAAGAAACAAGGAGAAAAAAGTTAATGAAGTCTACAAAAACGTGGAGGAGGCTGAGCAGTAGAGATGACATGATGATGGGAGCGGAGAAGGAGGAGGAGGAGGAGGAGGTGGTGCTACCTTAAGAGATGAGATTAAGTTGCTTTGGCTCTCGCTGTCTGACATGTCGTCGAAGAAAGGCTGCAGGTTGGGTGGAGCGGTGACTGACAGGTTGGGCTGTGGCGCGCCATTGGTGTCCAGGTGCAGCCCCTCCTTCTGTCCCTGAGGGAGGACAGGGACAGAGACATGTTTAGACTGTGTAACAGTGGACGTCATTATGTTGAATCCTCAGTTGTGATTGGTTAATTACATTTCATCCCTGAATAACAGCCTGCTGGTTCACATTTAATGAGTCTGCAGTCTGTTTAAACTGTGTGAGTGGCGACACCTTGTGGCAGGAAGATGTTACTGCTTAGAAGATGCAGAAAATCCTGCTGCACTACACAGTTCATTACATTATAATTATTTGAAGGAAATTTTTGTCCAAAGTGACTCACTTTTTTTCCCCCTATGTACTAAGATAAGATAAGATAAGATACGATAAGATACGATAAGATAAGATAAACCTTTATTGTCTGTCATAAGTAACAAAAATACTCAGTTCAGGTCTTACTTACTTTAAAATGTGGGTGGAAGTAGCCTGGCCACAAATTACAAGTAAAAAAAACTTACTTATATACAAACCAATAACAGTAACCAATAACTAATAATATTTTTGAGATGATTTCCTCAGTTGTGGATGGCTTTTTTTGATCATTTTAAAATTTAAACTTGTGCATCAATGTATGTTATATTATTCAAACTACAGTAAAACTATTAAAAGGCTAGATCAATTTTCATGTTGCCATGTCATGGATGAGTTACAATCATGAGGCATAAGTGGACCTTTTTCAAAATTCTAAGAACCTCCCCTTTTTTGTGTCTGCACCACAAGAACTAGGAACTATCGCAGTTCTTAGAAAGCAGGTTTGAGAAACTTTTTTCAGCTCCTATTTCAGAGTAGGTGCTCTCTTAGCACAAGAGGAAACATGACTGACAGAAGTGTACCATGACTGGTTTAAAACAGCCAATGTAGCAACAGCAACTGCCATTTTTAAAAACCTGTTAGCCACGTAAAAAACAGTTGACACAAAACACAAACAGCTGCTCGTAACGGAAAAGAAATGGAGAAAAAAACGTGGACAAATGGACTGACAGTGAAGTCCAGGCTTTACTGAGCATATAAGCATAAGTCAAAGTAAAATTTCTGTACCAACCACTGGTCAGCTTTTACTTTGGCTGTGCAAGTGCGAACAGAAAAAAAAAAAGCCCTTGAAGGTATGTAGCTCTATGGGGAGCACCCCAGAATGGTTTGGTCTGAATATGCCTATATATTGCAAGTTTATTTTCCATTCATTTTAGTCAGCCTGTTCTCATTTTTACAGCCTCGTCTCCAGATTCAGAATATTTCCTGTGTGGTTGTAGTAGTATAATTATACATTATGCATATAAATACATTTAAAACACACCTATAAAGCCCTTTGCAATTTTGTTTTCAGAGTATCAACCTTGACACTGGCCCACGCTGTATACCTGTCCCTATAAAAGATTTATTCAATAAATAACCATGCATAAATTTTATATATAAAGAAAGACATCTTTTTTGTACCTTTTTGTTTGGCTCGGCCTCTGGCGGCTCTTTTGATTGGCTGTCAGTGCTGGGGAGTTTACTTGGAGTCGACTGCAACCTCTGAAAGACAACAAGCAGAGAAAAATTGCACATAAATATTTCACTACAGATTATTAACCGTGTGCAGCCAACTACAGAGTATTTTTTATCAGCTTTACTGTACCTGCAGTGTGATGCGTCCATTGGGTTTGGCCAATGAGGACACTCCGTTCTGTCCCTCTGTGGTTTGACTGGTGAGTGCAATCAGGTAGTGGTTGCCGTTGCTGTCGGTGACCAGTGTCGGCGTGCCATTCGCCTTGAGGAGGTCTAATGAAATGGCCTGAGTGTGGATCTGAGTGCCGTTCTGTTGGTTGATAAAGACTGGGGTCACCTGTGAACCAAACATGTTTCAGTGAAATTAAGATTTTTAATTAAAACTTCGATGCACTTTATTTCAACATGTTATCCACTTTAAGAGGGCTGATGATGACCTTACCTGTTGGGTGGTGACAGCTGCCGTCTGCTGTTTCTGCTGCTGCCTCTGCAGAGCCCTCTGCTGCTTCCTCTGCTGGGTTAGGTTCAGTGCAGGCTTCTGGACCTGCACCTGAACCTGCTTCAGCTGAACCTGGTTCTTCTGCTGGTTCTGCTGAACTTGACCTTGAGTTTGTTTGAGCTGGTTCTGCTGCACCAGCTTCTGTTGGCTGAGTTTCTGCTGGGCCAGTTTCTGCTGCGCTAACTTCTGCTGCGCCTGGAGCTGTTTCTGTTGGGTTTGCTGTATGATGAGCTGCTGCAGTTGCTGCTGCTGATGGAGCAGGATCTGGGCTTCTTTCTTCTGCTGTTGTAGCTTCTGAGGGCTCGACATCGCCTCTGTTACTCTCTGCAGCTGCACCTGACTCTGCTGCTGTTTGGGCTGCAGCGTCTGTTTCTGCTGTTCGGCTTGTTGGATCTGCAGCCGATGAATCTGCTGCAGCCGGAGCAGAGTCTCCTGAGAGCACTGCATCGGCTGGGCCGCTTTCTTCGCCTCCGTCACCCCCTCCATCCCTTCCTCAGACTCCACCTCCTTCTTCACCCTCACCACGATGCCATTGGGGAGAGTGGGGGGCTGGATGGCCGAGGCTTTTATCAGAGTTTGAAGTTTAACCTCTGGGGATGTTTTGCTCTTTTCACCTCCTTCCTTCTCTGACACTACCCCACCTACTCCTGTCATCTTACCCTGCTCCAGCTGGGACCTGAGCGTCTCCACAAGCCTCTGCTTCTGTCTCAGCATCCTGGTCAACTCCTCGATCTGCTTGTCCTTCTCCTGGAGCATCTGGTCCTTGTCATAACAGGAAGTGTCCATGGCTGTTCCAGACAGGGGTTCTGGAGCCTGACATGAGGCAGGTGAAGGCCTGGAGAGGCTGCAGGAGCTCTGGATCTCCTCTTTGACCTTGGAGAGCGGAGAGATGTTTGGTGGGTGCTGAGGAGATGGGTGAAGGGTGAGCTGGGTCAGGGGAGAGCTTACCTGAGGGACGAAACAAGAAGAGAATTTATGGAAAAGTTTGAAGGAAGAGGTTACATTTTTTGCCAGTGTCCAGTAATTTTATCCAATAAACACATATCTAGCTCTCACCATCTCTCCAAACATGTCTCCATTACAGCTCGTCTCATCTGGACTCATCCCGGCCAGCGACCTCTCAGATGGAGTAGGAGAAACCGGAGGGCTGGAGCTGGTGCTGCCAAACCGCATGACCCGCCCTGGAATCACCTGAGCCAACGATGACAAATCTAACTTAAAGCCCGCCTCTCCTGGTTGGTGGTCGGGGGTTGTTGTTGTGGTTGGAGAGGATGTGACGGTGCCAGCGGATGAGGTCGTGCCCTGTTGGCTGGGCTGCGATATGCTGTTTTTCACAACCACTGTGGTGCCACCATTTTGCTCCTGATAGTTGCGGAGCCTCTCGATGAGATCGTTCTTTGTGCCTGAGACAGTCAAACCACGTAATTTCAGTTCCTGTTTCAACTCGGCGACCTGGAGGATGAGAAACCAGACCGGTATTCACTTAGCAGGCGTTGACTCAGAGTGAAAGAGAAGAGAATAACTGATGATGTGTAAGAGACAACACAAGTGGTGAGTTACACATAATTAAGTTCAGTGGTTCAAAACAAGGGGGCAGGGAATCCCCAAAATGTCCTTAGATTAATCTGAGGGGTCACAAAATTATTTAAAATGACACATTACAATATTCTTTTCAGCTTTTTCCCTTTTCACTTGATGAATATTGGACACTTTGACCTCTTCAGGCCTCTACTCATTTTTAACATTAAACAAGAATGTGACAAAAATTTCTCAAAAAATCACAAGGTTGGGAACTACTTATTTAGTTGAATTTTTTGGAGGGTATTTAGATGTGATGGGACATTAAAACTGTACTTTGCAAGGACATCAACAATAGTCAGTTGCTAAATTTAGCGGTACCGTTTGAGATCATGCATTAAAGATATAAGACGCAGGATTTTCCTAAAGAAACAACATGTAGATTCAAACAAAAGTAATCCCTCTCACTCAATCATGACCTATTACAAGTGTGTGGTGGTGTATTTTTCTGCAGAGACTCTGCACTCTGCCTGTATTTACTTATTTTCTGTGTCTGGGATGTTTGTGGACGTGTACATCACAGTGCTCAGGTGAGGTTGATGCTTTGTAGTGACACTTTGTAGTGTGTAGGTGCCAGACTGTAAACAGCACACATCTACGAGACACAGTGCCCAAAAATGCAAATGCTACGAGGCAGGACGCCAAACAAGAGTCTGGCGTTGGCTTTTACCTTCATTCTGGCTGGCATGTTTACAAACAGTAACCCAATTTCAGCATAGTATACCTTTAAAACCCTCATGGTGCTCACATTCAAAGCATCAAATGATCTTTTGCTGACTGGATCACTTGTTTTATTCAGCAAAAAAGTTCAAAACTTAATACAAATGGCAGCTACAACATATCTGGAAATACTTTCTTTTGGTTGTGTTATGTTCTTCGCAGGTACCTTTCTGATCCTGGCTGAAATGGTCTGTGTAACTCACTTTGAACTCGTCCAGGTTGGCTGGCAGAGTGCCTGGTTTGGCTCCTCCCACTGCAGTTTGGCTCTGACGGGCAGTCCCGCTCTGATTGGAGGGGGTTGGGGTGGTCGTCGTGGGAACGCTGCGGGAGGGGGAAGGGCCAGAGTTGGTTGTGGGAGGCTGCTCTGTTGGAGGCCTGAGGGGAGGCAGAAAACAGTGAAGTATGAATATGGCTTGTCCTGCTTTGACACTGCAGGGAATGTTGTGATTTGGACCCGATTGCAGGGTCACGCAAATGTGTTGATGGTAAACATAAAGTCCTTCAAAACCAAAAACTATACCATATAGGTTTCATCTGAAAAGCATATTCCATAAGTCACACGTTGTTACTGTCAAAGCACTGAAGCTAAGCTGGGACAGACCTTCAATGATTACTTCTGCTTTAACTCCAGGCTCTATGGACTCACTCATAAACCACTAAGATGGAAGCAACAAACCACAGCAGAAAAAGTTGGGAGCACACAGGAAGTAATAATGAAAACGGCCTACAGGCTGTGCTGCACCAGTGAACTATGGGTAATAACTACTGGTTCAATAGGAGGGAGAAAAAAAGTGGGTGGCAAAGTAGTTGACTCTTTGAATAAAACCGCTGCAGTCAGTCAACCTCACTTCCACACCACAAACACACACACACCCACATACACACACTGTCATGCTTGACACTCACTTGGGTGGGGCGGGCAGTATGGTGTGGTAGTTGTAGTGCTGCTGTTGCTGGTTGAGGATCTGCAGCTGCAGGAAGAGCTGCTGCTGGTGGAGGAGCTTCGCATAGGACGAGTCCATCTGGGGTGGACGCTCTTTGTCTGCCTTCTGGTCTGGAGGGATGTACTGGTGGTACTTCAGCTTCTTCACCTACAGCCAGGAGACCAAAGGGTTAAGATGCAAGTGGACTCTTTGAAGGGACAGTTCACCCCAAAAGCAAAACCAAATATTCTCCCTCTTGCCTGTAGTGCTTTTTATAGATTTAGATTGTTTTTTGTTTGTATTTCTGACTCTCAAAAAGCATTCTGGACATTTTAAACAGTCAAAAAAAAAGTATGTGCCTTCAGGACACGTAGGTGGGAAGATCAACAGTAATAACATAACTACAGTGAAAGAGCACGTATTTCCAGTTCAGAAAAAGAAGGTTTGTGTTCTTGTGTATTGATGATACCGCTGACGCGCAAAATGGTATCTCTTCCTCTTGCACAATGAATTTCTCTTTGTATGATTGTTAAATGTCTTCACACTGAGTCTAGACAGAAGCCCTGCGTCTCTTATTCTGAGAGAAATGACACCAAAACCACAGGGAAGGAAACCTGATGGATGAGGGATGAACTCCACATTCTTAATTCTTAAAAGAAGAACTACTGTCATGGAGCAGCCTAAAAATATATGCTGACAACTTCCCTGCGGTGACTGTTGTGGATTAGTATTTTCTGCACTCAATCAGACCCGTAACTCCAGCGTCAGCGCCTGTTAAAGTGAAAACAAAACAAAGAGCTTGCTGACCTTGGGTTTGCTGTCCTTTGGTTTCTTAGGTCTCTGTGGAGGACGGTCTGAACTCGCCTTAGCCTGAGACTGCTGACAGAAACCGTGAGAAACGGGGTCGGGGAGGAGGAAGCAAGGAAATGAAGAGATGAGGGAGGGTTAACCAGTTATAGCTGCTCCACAAATAGAGATTAAGGTCAGATTTATTCATAAGTCATCAAATCTGCAGGATGTTCAACTCGAAACTGAGACATGTTTTGTGGTTCTATGAAAGAGAGGAAAATAACCAGCATTACCGCACCTTCACATGTCCAGCAGAGGGGCGGGAGTTTGTTAAGGTCAGCGTCGTCCCATTTGTCACTTTCGGGAATGGGGAGGAGTCTGACCCATTCACCTGGGGAGGAGGAGGTGGTGGTGGTGGAGGTGGTGGAGGAAGAGGGGACTGTGTAATAAACTGAGAAGATATTACTCTAGTTAATGGTGTGATAAAGTTAATCACCAGTGGCTATGTTTCATGTAGTGATGGGCGACAATGAACGAATGATTCTTTTTGAACGACTCTTTTTTTAGTGTCCATTATTTACTGGGTCAGCCTGTTGAATGTCTGAGTGCTCATGAGTCCCCGACTTTTCCCACTCGCCCACTCACTGTTATCGTAGGGTAATGCTAACACTGCCTGCTACTGTGAGTGAACAAGCAAGGACCGACTGAATCAGACTCGAGTCCAAACCTCCGCCAGATTAGGACCAACAGTCCTTTAGCGTGCTCCCCGGATGGTCGTTCCTCTGACTTTGGTGTGTTCATGAGCTTCAAGTTAAAATGAGGAAACAACATGGACACTACAAAGGTGTGTTGTATATTACTGGTAGGAGTGTTTAAACAACAAAAAAAAAGGTAAAAAAAAATAAAAAAAAAGCAAAAGAAACGAATCAAATGAGCCATGTCATGGCGAAACTGACACCAAATTTTTCAAAAAAGTATCAAAACTCAAAAAGTATTATACATCTACATGTATCGACTCAAAGGAACAGATGCTGTAAAAAGAATCGTTACGCCCATCACTACAGTTTCATGGCAAAGTCATCTAATTAAATTTTGTTATGTTTGAATCATTGCAAATTCAAGTGACCTTCTTTTGGCTTAAAAGACATCTTGTGATGGTACCTGTGATGGTGACACATCCCCGTTCTGGGTAACCATGTCCGAGGGGGACAGCTGAGGGACGGCACTCAGGGGAGAGTCGTGATTGGTTAGCTGGTCTGGTGACAGAGCATCACTGCTGTCTTCATCCAAAGATGAGCTCTCTCCCTTTGGAGAATCTGTGACGGAGAGAACAAACCTTTTGAAATTCAGTGACACAACAGTTATTGCAGCATCTCCTGGTGGTGCGTTATAAATCTCTGTGGCCTGAAAACGGCTCATGAACGTGGGAATCTTCCCAGACTCTGTAGCCTGTGGACAAAACACTTGACAAAGACCTGGCTTCCTCACAGTGTGTCACGCAGTCAAACACAGTCATCACCTTCTGATTGCTACACAGCCATGACTAATTTTAGAGAAGTTATACAACACTGTATGTCCCCTTCCGCCATATTTCAAAACAGGACTATGTCCAAACATTGTTGTTGTGTCATATCTGTAACATGGTACGGTGATGCAACCTGTAGTTACTAATAAGTGTGTGTGTTTACACACTCACCTTTATAGTACTGTATTACAAGTGTGTGTAGATAACTGGATATCGTAATCACTTGGCTGAAGGTGTGTTCAGACTGAATGCAAATGAGATTTCAGAGGTGGTGCAACTGCACACAGTCAGTAGCATAATGGTAACTCAATAATACAGGTGAACATGTTTCAACTTGACTGCAACACTTGCACTCATCCCTCAGCTTTGTGCCTCCAATAAATTCAGCAAGTCAGTAAATGAGGCGAATTAATTCAGTTTGTGTTCAGTCTGAATGCACCTTATAGCGCCCGGTGTGTTTATAAGTCATTATGAATCATGCTCGTGTGATTGCGAGTCTTACTATATGTTGCGCAAGTGTGCAACCCTGTGCCTGCATGGTTGTATGCTGTTATAGGTTTTTGTAAACGTAGTCTGGATATATTATATTAAATTTGTGTGTATGCATACTGTGCTGTCTGTATGCTTTCTGTTGCTCCTTGTTGTCCATTTATTTATCTGTGTGACTATAATGTGTGTTAATGGTTGCAAATGTAACTGTGAGTTTGATTTTTGTCCTTTACTGCAACATCTAAATGATAGTGAGCAGTGTGCAAACTGTGCGTGTAGCTACCCAGTGGTGAGTGCACGGGGCAGTCGACAGACAGGATGTTCTTGTGAACCAGCTCGATGGGACCTGGTCTGTGGGAGATCTTGTCATTGAGGTCGTCGGCCAGTCGTGCTCGCTTCAGCTGCAGCTGCTTGGCCTGCAAGGACGGCTCTGCCGACGTCTCTGTGGTGGACACAGCAAGACAACGTGCATGCATGCAAATTCAGTAATCATGTGATTCAGTTTGATCTACGAGATACAACCAGGTATGTGTTTTGTAAATGCACAAGAGGTGCTGTATATGTCATAATTTCAGCACATTCTTACAGACAGGAAGTTGAATTTCTAAAGATCATAGATTTGGTGTTTTAAGGCCCTTGTAGCACTTCCTGGATTTAAATTTAAGCTCAAATATAAGCTGCTACTTGCTGCTAGTTTAACAAGGAAATCAATTAAGGGACAGCATCAAGTCAAGCTGATATACAGAACATTAATATATGTGATGCAAACAAACATGCCACGTCATAAAACCCTTATATGTGTGTAAAAAAAAAAAGGTTTAAACCAACAGATAAAATTGAGCATAGACCCCTCAGATTATTTCAGACTCATTCTAATGTAACAGAAGACTTGATCTACGTGGCAGAATCAGGCAATGAGTTCACAGGGCTTATGCAGTGCCGTCAGCTTCTAAGAAATACAGTTAAACTTAGTTCACATATAAATATGAAATAGGAACCACAGGTTAACCTTATCACATGGGAACTAGTTCCGTTTTGTTCACTGTGTGGTTCCTTTTTAATTCGGTTTCGTGTTTTTGAAACAGACTCAGACAGAGTGACTCAAACCTTTCATTGTATTCTTTTGAGATTACAGAGGGAAGTCTTTTGAGTCTCAAAGTGCATTTACCACTTGTAGGTTAAAAACTCACCTTCCAGAATGTGCATCCTGACCAGCTCAGAGCGCTCAGGACGACTCCGGATCTTCCTCTTCAGATAGTCCTCGGTCTGGGGAATACACGTGTGTAAGGAGGAGGATCACAAGCAAAGAGATGAGAAACAAGCCCGTAATCAACCCATACTAGAGCGACAACACTCAAATAAGCCGTTTAATGGACACTTGTTACACTGCAATAACCTGCTACATGTATTATTTACCTGCCATCTTTGTTACAGTGCCAGTGTCCCATACTGTGACTCACTCTCATTGAATTTTCTTTGTGGGTTTACATCTGCAGTCGGTGCTTTTTTCTTTGGTTCTCGTTGCTAATGCTATCTATGCTACAACTAAAAGCATCCACAAACCAGGTATTGCTTGAATTACAATTCCAATCAGTAACAGAGTAACAGACTAGATGCAAATTACGCATTTAAATCTTCTCTAAGCAACTTTGCATGATGGCAGCTCCAGATGGCAGCGAGAGGTAGATCTGACCTTGGGTTATTAAAAAACATGATAATGATGCCGAGCTACCCTGTTGCTTTGTGCAGCTCCTAAAATGAAGAGGGCCACCTTACTACTATCTGTATGGCATCTAAAGTTTCGATTTGTTATTTTCTGTCAGCAGAGTATGAGGTGTCTATACTGACGGTAAATTAAATTACAAATAATGCTTTGTAGATTATGTTGTTAATATTTACGGGTAATGTTTTGTCCCGCAGAGATTCAAACTCACTGAATTTAAGACACTCACCCTTGCTCGCTCCAGACTTTTCCGCTGTTCATGAAAGGCTGCCGGACTCTTCAGTGCTGCATGGATAGAGGGACGAAGAAGGGGGGAGGAAAGAAAGAGAGAGAGATGAATACAGCTCACAAGGACTGTGATGGGAGTCATGATGCTCCTTGCAGTAAGCGACAATGTGAGAACAGTCACTGCTATAGAAGACAAACTCAAAGCAGAAGTGGCTGCAGGATGAGAGGGTCAGGAGTGCTATTCTAACCACACACACTGATGACAGCTCAGGAGGCTGATGGGCCGCTGCAGCGTGCTGTGTGTGCAGGAATACAGCACAGTTTTTCTGCAGTGAAAGCTTCCTCGGTTATCACAAAGAGAATTGTACCTGCAAACGATTTCTTTGGCCAATTACTGTGCTGTTCAGATCCCAGTCATGTTATCATTGTGCTCATTGGGGCTTTTACATTGAAGCAGCGTAGGTAAGTTAGGCATTATGGGAGCAAATATTCAGGCAAACCTCAGGGAATCACATGACTATAACCATGACCATGAGCTTTCCTAAACCATCACTAAGCAGTTTCATATGCCTAAATTTAACTCAGTTTGTCACCTCATTCAATAAAATTACTCTATAAAAGTATCCCGTGTATTCTATCATGTTTGAACTGAGAATAGAAGTTGTTTGAATCTACATTTGGACATTTTTGTCTGTGATTTTTCACACCAAAGCAGACGCTAATTGAACTTTGAGTGAATCGCAAACCTCCAACACACAAAACCTGTTCAATGTAGCAAAACCTTTCCATGTGCCAAGTACTCACACATATATCCAGATTAAACTCTTACATACCTTTCATAAATCAGCACAATAGCCCCGCTCTGTGATAGTTTTATGGCTATTTTACACCTAAAACGCTACTGATGTGCGCTGACTTGTGTGGTGCATTTTGTAGATAGCAGACTTCCAGAACTATTTCAAAGGCCAACTGTCTGTGCTATGTGAGAGATGGACAGTAACTGGGAGTCTGACGGTAATAAATCCTTGATGACGAGTAGTCTGGAGTGGATCGTTAAAAGGAAAGCGTGGAGACAGAGGAGAGTGTGGACCGATGCACACAAAGGAAATATATGTTCATCACTGCACTCAGCCATGACTGTCTGCAACGTTTTAAGTACATGGGTGGGGGTGTGAAAGTATTTGTGGTGTGTGTGTGTGTGTGTGTGTGTGTGTGTGTGTGTGTGTGTGTGTGTGTAAACACATATTTCTGCATTTTAGCCAGCTAGTCACAGCCTCAAAAGCAAATGAGAGTATGACCATTAAGGAGAAACCAAAAAAAGAAGTTTACATTTTTAAAATGATAATCTTTTAATGTGCAAGAATCATATTCCAGATCCAAGCAATTAGAAAAATGTTTGACAAATTTTTCCACCTCATTCATGCTTTCAAGTTAAGTCTATGCTTAAAATGGATTGGTCACATTAAGATAGTGGGCAAAGAGGACGGTTTCCAATTATACTATGCACGATTTTCCTAAAAACAATGTACAGACTCATACAAAAGGAATCCCTCTTAAACATCACTCATGACCCACTGGAAGTTTGTGGTGGTGTATTTATCTGCAGAAACTCTGCCCTCTGCTTGTACATCTTATTTTCTGTGTTCCAGATGTTTATGGGCGTGTTCCCCACAGCTTTATTAAAAGGTAGTGACCAGGTGCCAGCAGGCAGCAGGAAGCAGCAGGCATTCAAGAGACAAAGCCCCGAAAAAAAAAAACGCAAATATAACATGATGAAATCAAGACGAGAGTGAATCTGGGGCTTGCTCTTACTTTCACTTTGGCTGGCGAACATGTTTACAAACAGTAACTGACAATCCTGCAGAGCATACCGTTAAAATCATGAATAGCCAAACTGAGTAACAATCTTCTTTTAGACTTGTTGGACACCAAGGACACCCAAACGCGTAGTCTTAAACATTTTAAATTTGAGCAGCAGTGATAATTACATAAACAAAAACTATGATTAATGTTTGGCAACGACCTTTTATTCCATGACTAAGATGAGACCATGACGTGACAGCACCACACTTTTACTGAACACTAACTGTGACAATATTAACATGCAATATCGTTGATGACAAAAGACTAGACTAAAATGTGGCAGCAAAAAATAAAAACTTTGCTAACATGTCTTGATTTTAATTAACAAAAAAAGAGGAGATGAAATACTGTAGACTAGTTAGCCAATATGAGTATGAGTTAATTGAGGTAAGAGAAAGAGAGCGTGTGTGCGCGTGTATATCAGTGTGTAGCAAGTGTCGGTTAATCACTTGACCGAAAAAAAAAAGACCACATTTTTGGGTTTGACTTTACTAGATTGAGTAAAATGTTCAATAATCTGAAGCCACAAAAAGACAAAAATGTCCTTCTCATTGATTGAAACTAGTCTAAGATAGTTACGATTTTCTTTGAATGAGATAAAACTAAAATGCCCAGATTTTTAGCCAACTAAAACTTGCATTAAAAAAGGACTGGGGTTGACTAAATATCCTAAAAACTAATAAGGACTTTTTTAACAGTACTTAGACTGAATAAAAAAAAATAGCACAACTAAACAGACACAAACAGAGATGTTTTTGTACAGTATTTGGGGAAGGATATTGGGAGGACACTGGCAGTTATAATGATGCAACACAACATTCATTAGATTGGTCAAGAGCTGGTGAAATCCCTGCCAAAAGGTGTGTGACACGGGGCGTCCACTGTATGTGTGTCACAGTCGACTGGGTGGGGGTGGGAGGCATTCCTCGTGTCACAACCCCTGAAGTTCACAAAGAGACCTACATGCCAGTTGTGACATAACCAACGGTCAAGAACTCAGTCAGATGATCCTGTTACTATCATCTGCTGAGAGTCAACAAAAAATGTCCTGTCCATGGACTGAGGGTTTGACTGATGTCAGTTTGTCGATATAGCAGAGTCATACTGGCCTTTGATTGAGATCAGATGTCAGGCAGGCAACGTGTCCGCTAACATTAATAGAGAACTGTGAAAGGTAATGTTTTTGTGACATCATTTGAACAAAAATCTTGGCAGCAATGAACCCTTTGTTCTGGACAAACAGAACTAATGTAATACATCTCGTAATGTCGCTCTAATTGACATTTTATTCATTTTCAGCAGCAAGCATGAAATATAATTGTATGTTTGAACAGCTGCCCTTTTATGACTGCCAAATCAATCTCTATTTTATACTTGTGCAAGTCAGAAACGATAAAAAAAACACCAGCTGTACTGTGTATCAGGCTATTCTGAAACACAGAAACAATAATCCGAGACAACAGAACAGAGTCGTGTACTTGGCCACATTTTTCAATATGATCTATTGATTCAACAACGCTCGTAATACACAATTTCATTGTTGTACAACCTCAAACAAACTAGGCGGAATACTGGAAAAAAGGCAAAATATGATCTGAACATACAAAGTGGAAATGAAATCTTTTAGCGCACACACCTTTTTCAAATCTGTTTTCACTAGAGGGAACATGACCAAGACACAGAGCCTACAATCTCTACTGAATATCTCAGATGCTGATGAAGAAAGTGTGGTTCAATAATCAGCTTTAAAGTGGCCAAACCTATCAGCCAGCAGCTCAGACATACTCTGATTTTTGGTTGAATTACTACATCAAATGACAAACATGGCTGAGCTCTAGACACAGGAGCATTGTTATTGCTTGTTAACTCATATATCTATGCCTTTCCTACTCTAGTGCTATAGTCATGCTTCCATTCAATTCTCAAATTTTAGCAAACTTTTGACATGTCACAAACAAGGAATGGGAATCAAGTTTGGAACAAATAAACTAGGCTGCAAAGCGTAGTTTAGTCAGACGTTGGTGGTGGCTAAGCTTTACGCATGGCCAGTAAACAGAGTAGAAGAAGTAGAGGCTGCAAACTACAAACAAAATAAGTGGCCTCGTCATCTAACCCATTTATGAGAGCAAAATAGAGAGAGGTCTTCAGGTATTTGTTTCAGCTGGTCAAGTTTTAAGTGTTCTTTCAGGTCAGCTAGTATTGGCCATGTTTCATGCTGAATGGAGACGAAGACAAATTAATGCAATCATCATGAAGCAGAGAAAGATGCCAACGATGGAAACAGGTAAAAGTTTGCTACGACACCGTATTCGGCAATGGCGTTTCTATTTCCCTTTTATCGCATCAAATCTTTTTCGACAAAGGCAAAACCAACTAAATCGAGAGTAAAAATTTTGCCGTGTCCAAACAGATTTTTTTAATGCAGTACTTCAAAATGCGCATAAAATATGTTCATGGAAACAACGGCTCATGATTCTCTTCTGTACTCTCTTGTTCAGAAACAACCTGCTTCACACTTAGTTACTTGATATTGACACAGTGCAACAACAGCAATTTTGTAGCTTCACTGATCTAAGTGCGAGGCCAAGTGCGTTCTTCAAGAACACCCAGACGATGGTTACTCAGAGGGGGAGGGTGGAAAGTTACTCATTCACACCACCTACAGCTGCAAAAACCAGTGTGAGGATTACATCCTGCAGCAACACTGACCCTTCATCAGTTCCCAGCACCCACTGTCTCCTCTACAGCTGCGCCACATGGTCGAAAACATATTACAATATTAAAAGTCCAGTGTGTAGGATTTAGTGGCATCTAGCAGTGAGGTTGCAGAACTGAAACTTCCACCGGGTGCCAAGCGTGTAGGAGAATAATGGTAGCCAATGTGAAAGCACGAATGGACCTATCTGTGTGGGTAGTGTTTGATTTGTCTGTTCTGGGCTTCTGTAGAACAACATGGTGGACTCCGTGGAAGAGGACCTGCTCCATTTGTAGATATAAACGGCTCATTCTAAGGTAACAAAAACACAATGCTTCTTTTTTCAGGTGATTCTAATCTGATGAACAAATAGTTATGAATATTATATACCACTACTGCCAATAAATGCCCCTAAATCCTACACACTGGACCTTTAAGAATATTCCACCATACAGATCACAATTTGTACATATTATTATACGATTCTACTAAAATTCGATAAATGATGCACCCTGCTTGCTCTTTAGCAGTTAATACAATCTTCACTGTCCTATAGTTCAACAGGGGCCTTGACAGCTGAGCAGCCTTTGCTCTACCTTGCTGTGTCTCCTGGCAACAGTCAAAAATAATGGCTCTTTGTAAAATCCTATGTTCGAGGAAAACATCCACTTGAGAGCAAACACAGTCTTAGGTGAATCTTTTATAAACCTATTCTTTCTCTTTCTCCCTCCTTAGGTATTTGTCTCTTTGTTTCTCCACAGAGGAGTAGCCTGAGAGCGAAATATTCTACCAGTACACGTTGATCCCAATTCAACGGTCAGGCCTGAGGCCTGTTGCATAAGGAGGAAACGGACAGATTTACTGCAACTATTAAATCTGCTCTCTGCCCACTACAACAAGTACCTGGTCAGAGTGTCCTCTCCAGCGCATTCTTTCATGCCTAACCCCCTTTTAATGCAAACTGAGCCTGGTGTGTTACTTTTAAGTGCATTGTTGTTGAACTGATATGCCAAAGGATTCATCCAGGGTTATATTACCACAATATACAACACCTGAAAAACAGTCCAACGCTTTCTGACACAAAGCACATTTTGGTTTCTTTACCTGTCACAGCAGTGAGTGCAGTTTTCATTCACACCTGCTTTGTCTTCATTTTGGACAAATGCAAATAACCTCTCCATCTTTTCATCTTGAGACTCACAAAAATATTCAGTGCATCTTAAGTTCCTCTGTCTTTAATGGGGATTAACAGTCACCATGTCAGGTTTCCTACTTTCATTTGGAGACCTTCTACTCTTCAATCAATTGGTCATAGAGGATTATCTACCGTACATATTGTATGAGGCTGAATGCTGGGTCATTTTTTTATTACAAAGAGCCTTCTTGAAAAAAGCCTCGTACTTATTGTGCATTGCTACGTTTTAATGAAGAAAGAGTAAAATAAAAAAAGGCCTCTTGTGATGAGAGGAACTCTGAAACAGGAAGTGGATACAGAAGAAGAGGAAGCTGTCCTATTTGATAACACCAAGTGGTGCAAAAACGCCACCAAATGTGACACATGCTGAACGCTCATACCGATAACAGAGCTGACACTTTCAGTAAAAACCAAGATGCAAAGATGTCTCAACCTTCATGATTTTGTGTTACCTGAAGATAACACACTCAGAAAGGTACACTGTTAACATATCCTGTATAGTATAGGTAATCAGATAGCACATTTAACTTATGAATCAACTGACCGTGCGCATATAGCTAAGTGTTAGTATTATGTGACGACCCAATCAATCTCTGACAGGGTCTGACACTCTGTCTGATGCTGTAGGATGGGAAAGGGTTAACACTCTGACATCGGCTCAAAGACACAGATACAGCGCTCTGGTTGTCAGTATAAGTTTCTTTTACGATACATAACACTAAGATCTTCACACGCTAAATAAAAACTACATTACTACACAGCAACACTAAACAGACAACACGAAAGAGACCGAGTCAGTTTGAGCTTTTTCTGTGGTGTGTATGTGCATCCCTGTAGATGCCATATCCATGTGTGTTAAAATGGAACTACCCACACTGACAATACAAGTTTGCCGAATAGAATACATTTCAATTCAGAGACTTAAATCAGAGACTTACGTGGCATGATCCCTTGGCTGACCAGTTCCTCTCGTGTACGTCTCTGCTGGAGTTTGAGCTGGAGGACTGCATGGAGACAGAGGAGGTGAGGGGGGGAGACAGAGGAGAAGAGTCAGTACAGCCGGCGAGAAGAAGAAACTGCAGCGATGGAGCTCTGAGCTCTTAAAGCTTCCTTATTGTTTCTTATTGTCCTCTGATCAGCGGTCCATCTGCCTCGTTCACATAAATAACCACACACCAGAACCCGACTGACATGAAGAGGACCTGCACTCTCTGGCACCCAATACATCCTCCCATTTCCCCCTTCTTTTGTGCTTTTTTTTGAAGCTAGGAGGCAGAGGAGGCGGGTACCAAGAGGGTGTGAGCAGCGTACTACACACTTCCTGTTTCTGGACTATTTTTTTATGTGTGCAAAGTGTGTGCAGTTGTGTGTAAAAGAACAGCCACCATAGTAAGAATCAGTAAGAGAGAGAGCGAGAGCAAGCGCAGCAAAACAGATAAAAGAAACCAGCAAAGGAAGGAAAAAGGAACAGTTAGATGTAGAATGCAGACTGAAACAAGACCGGCCTCGATTAGAGAGGAGTTGAAAAAAGTGCATGAGGGCCGATTGCGCCGTCATTTCAAAACAGGAAGCACTTGTTACATAATGCAGGGGCTGCGAGAGAGAGTTTTAAGGAACACAGCACTGGACAAAAGAAGCAGGACCATGGTTGACCTTTCTGCACAGTCGTTCTCATCTCGGTAGCATTTACGAATCAACTCTCAGGCTGAAAGCTCATTCTGGCCCTATTGTCTTAAATAAATGTTAAAGTAAAAACAAATTAGATCAAGACATGATGAATAATTTTACAGAATGACAATTTAAACATGGACATCTGCAGGATCATGCACTGCATTTCATCATTTGCTGCAGTTTCACTGCAACACACAGAGTTTAGAGAAGTGACCCTTCAGTCAGTCACACAGCAAACTAACTGATTACAAACACATCACCAACCATGACAAGAATGTACAGAACAGCTACAGGGTCACTGCTGACACTTGCCTGTGGTGCGATGGGGTTTCTGAAGTCGATAAGTAACTGATACTGCACTATACTTCCACTGTGCTTCTTGGCAATAGCCTGTTTCCAATTTAAAACTGAAGATGTGACACACACTTGCAGTTCGTGTTGGTTTTAAGCTTGCTAGTTTGACAGAATCCGAGGAAGGAATGAGTTTATTACGCCAAATACTATTTTCACTGACATTCAGCTCAGCTCCCCTCAGCTGAGACTCTTGTTTTATATGTACCAGCTGTCCCTGTTGAAGGGGTATGTGTGTGTACACGAAGTGTAACGCACCACTGAAGCTTCCCGAGCATTTCTGGGCCGCGGGTTGTGTCTGCTACACAAGCAGCACCTGTTCCTCCCCACTAACAAAGTGACATCATTGGTGCTTGCAGGCTAGCTAACCTGTTAGACGTCCTGCGTAGCTGCTGCTGCTGCTGTTATGACAAACAATCCAGGCCTGGACAGAAACACTGCCAGTTCCATGAATTAACGTCACAGCCTGTGCAACTAAATGTCATTCCTTGGCTCTAAATGCTCGCTGGCGATCCCAGCTCCCCTCTGTTATATTTACAAGTGTGCATGCTCTCCTTCGTGAGGGATGAGGCTAGCACTAGAGACTCCCCTCTGGAAGCAATAACATGTCAGTTCACATTCAGAGACGTAAACACAGAGACCTAAACACAGCCAGGCATGCTCATGTATGTGTTGCACTAGCAGCTAAGAGATTCATTTTCCCACAGTGCCAAACACATGGGCAAACACTTAAGAGACTCACGTGTTGCTTGACCCACACACACACACGGACACACACTGACCGTGCCACGGCCGAATGCAGGATAAGACGCCAAGCCACTTGGCACTTCTAGGGAAGAGGTTTATTCTGGGAAAGAGAATCTTACACTTTCCCTCTATCTCAGCCTCACATCTCCATGCTCCCTCCTCATATTCTTTCACACAGACAGGGCACTCCAGTTGACTTATTTATTCTCCCCTGCACTCTCTCTCTCATTCCTCTGTTTATTCCTCATCTCTGGCAGTAAGCGAACTGGAAATCCTTGCATTAGCGGTTTAGTCCAGTGGCCACAGTGAGCTGTTTATAGCTGTTATCGCCAGTTTATCAACCAAATGAATTGCCAGAGACGTTAGTATAAAAGCTAAAAAAGACTGTCAGTGTCCTCCCAATATCCTTCCCCAAAAAGTGTCAGCCATAATTTTCTTTGTGGTTTGACAAAGAGAAGCAGAAGTCTCACAGTGACACCTCATGCATGCTGGAGATGGTGCTACGTGTGAAAAGCTGCAGTTGTGTTAAAACTGTAGGTTGAGGTGGGGAAACCAAATCATATGACAATTTAGTTGTTATTACTGCACTACCTACAAATAAAACACATACTAAACAAATATGGAAGCCAGTAATTGTTAGTAAAGGAATCATAACCATAAAGTAAGCTGTGCACTGGTGCCAAAATGTATATGAAAAGTTTTATACTGATAGTGAGTGTGTTTACATGCAGGTAAGAAACCTAGCTATTGTCACATATCAGCATTAATCTAAATTTCCATAGTTTAATTCGAGGTTGCGTGCACATGGCATCAGTGTGGGGGTCGCTGAGCAGCTAACATGGCAACAGTACTTACAGAGCCAATGGTGTTAACCTGGTTGGGGGAGGGATTACGCTTCTGCAACAATGGCGTTCTGCCACTTTGGGTTAGGACATTATCAGTGGCAACTGCTGTATAAGCACAATGCAGAGTGGTGGCAATTGGCTAGCCACTGGGATACACACACAGGGACTCACATGGAATTACAAGCATGCGTGGCAGGATGGTCTACCAAAACAAACAACAGAGAAGCTCGGAATACGACGACTCCGCTATGTCTTTAAAGAGCAAACAGTTGTTTGCTGCTACATTAATGCTTTAAATGCCAAATACAGCACCTTCAAATGGTGTATAAACCTAGACTTCCTTAACTGTGGTTAAGGATTAAGAGAAACCTGACTGACACACTCAACTTCTGCTATAATATAATTAGGTTATTACAGTGCATGTGAACATGTTCTCTCATCTCCTGCCTTAACATGATTTTCCCATGGTAACCGGGTTTCACAAGTGCATGCAAACATAGTCAACAGTGATGCTGATGTTTTTTTTAATTGTTAATGGATTCGCATTTCAAAAAAAAAAGATTAAATATGACAATGTCATCATCTAAATCAGGTTTGAGGGCCATTTTGGTTAATTTAAGAAAAGGATGAAAAGGCAGGGCAGTTTTATTGGGATACTAGGCCACAGCCAAAACTGGCCTCCGCACTCATAAAAAGCAAGAGCCAAGGAACAGAGCGAGGGAGAGAGACAGAAGGAGAGCAGTTTTTAGATGAAGCAGAGGGAACAATGGTGAAAAGCACAATATTACTTATTTCTCATGGATGTAACAAATGTGTAACAAACAAACAAATCTGCAGCTAATAAAGTTTCTGTTGATTAAATGAGTTAATCAGGTAATGATCTTAGACAAGTCCAGTATCTAAACACAGCCGTCTCACAGCTACAAACTATGTCATACAGCAGAGGAAAAAGTTTCCAGACTTATGGTAGTAAGCCATGGAAGTTAGGGGATTCTGTGTGCATAAACTGACACAGAGGTCACATACATGACTGTCCATTTCAGCACAAGACGTTTGGTAACGTAAAAGTAGTGGGGGAAGAGGAATCCAAGAGTTAAGGTTCCAGTGGCGTCAGAGAGGCAGAAGGAGGAGGTCAGTGAGGTATTGCCAACTTCTTGGTGGCCAACTGGGCTAATCCTGCTGTGCTCATTCGTCATTAGATCTGTTTAAACATGTCTGAGTTCGTCACTGTCCCCAAAGACCCCCAGGCTTGGCACAGCTAAGCCTGCACACACCGACAATAGCAACACACATGAAGGCAGAATAATGCGAGCCAAACCTAAGTAAAATAGTGGGCACATGAGGACGGAAACATGCGTGATCACACTGCCACTCACTCGGCTAACGAACACAGACCTCACAGATGCTCTGCGCGGACATTACGCTTGGCATCGGCATTGGAAATGTTCTATTTAGAAAGCCTGTTAATGTTCTCCTGCTTCATTTGCACAGTAGCAGTGGTTTCATTGCATCTGTTGAACAGAGAAATGAAGGCAGCGTCTGACCACAACAAATGTTTCACACATCAGTAAGAATGGAAAGAGGCTAGAGGGCAGAAACAACACAAGGTTAAGGCCATTCACATCTTGCTATCAGTCCCTTTGCCTTCGCACTGCCGCACTGTGCCGGGAAGCCAGATGACAACATGAGGGGTCGTGGTGAATACTAATTATCTTAAAGTTCAAGAAGGGCGAGTCAGGCTCCCAGAGCTTTCATGGCTTTATGCAGTACCTGTCACTCACACTTTCTCTAGACATGATGCACGATTAGCAAAGGTAGCGGTTAGCAAAAAAAGCACCTGGAATAATAACTGACAGCTGCAGTGTCATTTGCACAGCGACACTGCAACATGCCAGTCCTTTTTATGGTACAATAGAAATTCCTTCCATCTGTTTTTTTTATCCATTCCCCTTCCTTTTTTTCTGGACATTCTCCATCTTCAGCCATTTGAACCTCACAGGAATGTTTTGTTTCATCTGTAGTCAGTCATCTGAGACTGACCCTTGCTTGTAATGCTTGTAATGTTGGTTATAAACAAACTGAAGCTTATTTTACTGCAGCCCTGACCAAACCATTCCAAATTAGGCTATATCCCCAATATCTAACATTAAGTCACTGCTGGCTGTTTTATGTTTTCCCTTTCAGTGGAGAAATATGGTTTTTAAGTCCGCTGGGCAGTGTTTGTTTTCCTCTGTGTTTGTGCACATCAAATTTAAATCCAAAAATGTGCAGTGTCAGTAAGTGTCACATTATCACATTTGATAGAGACTAAAATACTACTACTACTACTATGACTACCACTACAACTACTACCACTACAAAAAACAAAAACATGACAGCATCAACTTACAATCTGGCTGAAAAAAAGATTTTATATGTATTAAATATTTGCTAGTACCTCCAGTTGGACCATAACTTAAAAAAGCTCTATGTGAAATTAGTAAAATTCACAGCGTATGAGTTGTCTGCACACCGTTTTCAGCATGGAGGTGGCTGAGCTAGCAGCTAACAATGCTAACTCCATAAACAGTGCTAAACAATGGCAACAGTGCTGACAGAGCTAACGGTGTTAACAGTCATGACACTGTCCCACAGTGGTAACTGCCATATGAGCACAGTGCAAAGCAGCAACAACGAGCTAGCCAGTGGGATACACATATACACTAATATGCACTCGTGGCCAGACCGGCTTACCACAACAAACCACAGAGGAGCTCGGGTTGCAACACCCATAGAGGTGGCTTGACTCAATTCTCTGCTCAGGTCGGCATTGCTCCACTAAATCTGTACACTGCAAACAGTTGTTTGCTGCTGTATTAATGCTCTGAATGATGGCGCTTTTGACAAAAATGCTATGGAGCAATGCTTTTCTGTTTTGTTCGTTATCGTGAACAGGCATGCAGGTGACATGATACATGTCTCTGCCAGTGGTTTTACACTATTCCACTGATCTACAGGTGGCGGTAATGTGCCAGCAAAGGCAAAGAAGAAGAAGACTGCTAGCAAGTAAACATGAGCACACCATGGAGGTTAAAAATGAAAATTGTTTTGCAAATGTTTTATGAGGAAGAAGATGCCATGTGACTTTAACATCACAGGCTCAAATTTTTACACCTGTGGTCGCCCACACTTCCTTAATTTAACTTAGTGGCCAGGTCTGCTCCATGACACAGGTTTATCAGAGGGAACAGATCACCACTTCTATTTCCTTCCTACGCAGACCAGTCGACCAAATTGCTTATCTTTAGAAAAGCCCCATCAACCATTTATGTGAAGCCATAAAGTACTGATATGAACCTGTACACTGAGTCACATAAACACAAATCATATCAGGTGTCTTGAGTCTCTACTGACTGTGTGCAGCTCCGGATCGCCCACCTTCTTTCAGGCTGTGATAGACAAGTCTGTCATGATCCATCGTCAGCCCTGTCTTCTCCATGTCATCCCCCATTGGAGGAGAGCCCGGGGGGGAGGGCTCAAAGGACAGGCACTGGTTGGTGTCCAGCATTATCATTCAGAATGGAGATAAATTATTTGGTAAACATTGATCTTGTCAGTCAAAAGCGGTCCTCCTCCTGAGTCCCCAATGTTGGCTGTTCTGACTGAAGAGGGGAGGAAAGAAGAATCCTTGATGTGACAAAACTGCACCAGCTGTCCCTTCAAATAGCTGTCCTCTCTCTCCAAGGGAAGGATGTGAATCAAATGCTTCAGAGGAGCCTCATACAAGTCGAAGAAAATCTCCTTTTAAACCAAAACGTGGAGGAAAAATGCTGCTACTTCCTCTCCTCTCCAAGTGCCTCTCTCTTCTGTATCACAGTAATCGATTGGTCTGTCTCAGCTTCTCTCTCTCTCTTTCTTGCCTTCCTCCTGCTCTCTCCTTCCCTTGCAGTGGCAGCCGGCGAGTCACGACGGCGCTGGCTCTGCGAAGGTTTCCCAGAGAGACGAGGGGGAAAGAAATCCACAGGGCGAGTCGCGGATGAAAAGAACAAGGGAGCGGAGGGGAGGAAACTGAAAACAGGCCAGCGGCGGAGGAAGAGAGGACAGCAGTGAGCTCGGCAGGGAGAGTGCCCAGAGAGACTGCTCTGGTTGCAGCTCCTCCTGAATCTCTCTCTCTCTCTCTCTCTCTCTCTCTCACACACTCACACACACACACAAGTAGGGAGTGCTGCCGATAAAGTTCTCCTGCTCAGCTGTTGCCATTCATTCACTGTTACAGGCTGAGGGGGGCTGCCACATGCAAACTCGTCCCTGTCAAACGCACAAACACAGCGTACAGGACAAAATCACAGTACTATGGATGAGACAATCTGTTCTTGAACACTTTCTAGACTACACAGGCTTGCCCTCAAAAATGATGACTCAGTTAATGTATGAACACTTTTTCGCGGACAAATGCCAGAGACTGTTTTCAGTGGTGACCTCATCCGACATAATCGACCTTTGTCAAAGATACTCTGGTAAATCTGATACTGAGATGAATCACACACTCACATTGACTTTTAGAGTGATTGATTGATACCCAATCACCACTGCAATTCTAAAATGTTTTTTGAACCGTCTGCCCTTGAGACAAGGCGTCTCGTTTAGACAGAAACTCTGTAAAAAATGTTATCAGAGGAGTGAGACTCTGATTGGACTGGTGCGACCGCAGAATTAAAGCCAATGCATCCTAATCCTGTCAGATAGCTAGATAGATTTTTTTGCGGTCCAGTCCTACCACCAAACTGTCTCTGGCTCCCGCAGAATGCTGATGGTAAACCCCATCCCCGGCCGCACCCCCTTCCCCCCTCTCTCCACTGTTTTAAATAGCAAGGGCAGCTGGCCATAAGGGGGCTATATTCAGCTTGGTATCACCTGTGCGCTTGCAGGGTAAAGTTACTCTGTGGCACACACATCACTGCCTGCAAATACACACACGCAAACTTTTAAGCCGCATTTCCCTGCACTGAATCAATGTTTCATGAGGCGTGACACAAAGGGAGATACACTGCTTCCATACCTTTCATTTCATAATACAGACAGCACAGAGAGAAGTCCATCTATTAATAAACTAAAGGCCTGAGTAGAAATATCAAATATGAAAACTCAGCACACCATGTGACATCATGGCTGACCAGTGCAGACCACCTCTGTCAAACAGGTGACACACACACGACCGTGCTGCACCTGAAAACACAGACGACACCTCCTTGAACAAACGGTGACTGGTACCTACAATAACTGTCTGTTATGAGTGTGTGATTAAAGTCCACCTGCTGTTATGATTCACAGTCTGGGCAGGAAACACAGAGATGATAACACACACAGGGATTAGGATGTCGCCGTGTGGGTTGAGCCAATCTCAGCGACACACACACGACACATCATTGACTGACACACAGCATGCCAAACATGTCAACTACATTTCATCTTCATGGCTCAAAATCCTAAATCCATTCTTATTTTTACTTTCGTTTTCTTGTCATTTTGAACTTCTGTGATCTAATCCGTGTTTTCTACATAACAAAACACATGGGGCTCTGATTCCTACGGCAATATAAACATCATGAGAGGATGACAATTTACAGCTTAACAGTAACGTATAAATTCTGTTTGATTATTGTCATTGTAACCTTGAGCAACAGGGCAAGGCAGCAGATTGCAGGGGAGTTTTTATGGTTTTAGGGCTTAGTGGCCATTGTGTGTGGGAGGTGCAGTTATGTTATTTCCAATCACTTGCCTGCACCTGAATAAGTATCAAGCAGAGATGCAGGACTAAGTAACTAAAAACTATTGACGTAGCTTAAACACTAAGCCATGTTCGAGTCCCCGTCTGGACCAAAATATGGAGCGTGGACTGGTGGCTGGAGAGGTGCCAGTTCACCTCCTGGGCACTGCCGAGGTGCCCTTGAGCAAGGCACCGAACCCCCCCAACCGCTCGGGGCGCCTGACCAAAGGGCAGCCCCCCCACTCTGACATCTCTCCACTTTGTGCATGTATAGGTCCTGTTTGTGCATGTGTGTGTCTTTCAGACCTGTGTGTAATTGACAAGCAAGAGTGAAAACATTGAATTTCCCCTCAGGGGATTAATAAAGTAAATAAACTTTAGCTAAATGCTAACGCTTAGCACCATGCTCCCAATGATAGTTCAAACACGCTGATGTCTAGCATGTATATTTCTCCTCTTGGCACCACGTATATTCTGAAGTTTCATGGCAACCCATTTAAACATTAAAATACTTCAGTCTGAACCAACATTGCCATCCTCTGTGCTTTTAGCTTGGCTAAAAGCAGCACAAAACATCTGAACTATTAAGTATGATAAGCCTGAGTCCCAGGACGGTTGCCAATGTTTAAAATGTATACCACTGCTACCACTATATAATATATACCACTATTCAGCACGCTGTTTGTGTACAGTACTCTCCTCACAATCATTACACTGGGTGGGGATGTTAACCTTTAGCAAGAGAAATTTGCTGTCATAGTTCTGGCTTTGGTAACATTCCAGTGAGGCTATTCGGCCTTGGACATCCTTATCTGGGTTTTTCTTTATCCGTCACTGAAAAACATTTCTGGGAATTAAACAAAAAAGAAAACACTGCTTTTGGGGCAAGCAGGCAGGATATAATTACAGTATAAAGGTCTTGCAGAAGCAGTGACTCAAAGACTTCCTGTGGATGTGTAAATGAAAGGAAAACTCCCCCACAGCTTCCAGTCGGTCATTATAACCTGGACCACCGGGGGCACAAACAGCTAAAACATTAGTTGTTTTCTTGTAAAATGGCATCAAATCATGCTGCGTTTTGGTACTGAGATTGATTTTTTTTCTTTTTACTGTTTGGGAGGAAATCTATTCAAGTCCAATCCTATTTTGACAAGCAACAGGCAAATAAAAACGCATCAAGAGGACCAGATATTTAAAAGTGCTATCTACACTGGTTCTAGATAAAACGCTGCAGACAAAACAGCAGAGTAAAATGCAAACAACCACCAGTGAGCATGGGATGCAGTGAGCATCTCTGCACTGGCTTCTTGCGCATTGTCATTTCTTCAATCAGAACATACGGTTGTATATAATAACCAAGGACATAATTGAAAGACATGGGTTGACTAGGACAGTAGGACTATCAGAAACAGACATGACCTGAAGCTGAACTGTGTGCAGGGCAGTAGAATATGACTTCTTCTACACTACTTGCTACAGCATCCCAAACATCAGCCACAGCTGCAAAAATACAACATGACCTTAAAACAATGCTTTTTTTTTAATTTCTGGCTGATGTTGAGGGGATAAAGTGACTAGAGCCTAAATGATTTTTATTTTTCTACCCTAGTGGTGGGAACATCATGACCCTCTTGGCACAGACTGCCCTTCAGCAGGACCTGCCCAAAACAATCACCCCACCACATTCCATTTACCTGCCCACAACAATTAGTAGTTTCCGCCAACCGCCCACAATCATCCCTAACCAACAAGACCAGGCAGGTCTGATTCAGGCGAACCACACATAAAAAGCCTGTGAGGATAACTCTCAGGAATGAAACAATCTGACCGGGAATTTAAGTCATAATTGGCACTGCAATCTGAACAATATGCTCTGTGAACTCTTTCCAGATCAATGTGGGACTCCTGGTGTATTCCCATCAGTGAATGTCTGTAATTATCTCTCAACACCTCCACGGTATTCATCATACTTCATCCCCCGCAATATAAATAACAGGAAATCAAAGATGCTGTCTGACGTCAATATCCTGTGAAAAGTAATATCGCAATCAATTTCTCTTCTTTACTTCCTGCTTATGTAGGGCTGCAGCAGAATGATGCTGGTACAGTAGGGCTGGGCAACATAACAACTATGTACTGTATATTTATATATTTTTTAGCAAGATAAACATTTTATACCATATATATCAATATTGGGTCAAGTTGCGTTACGTAACGCTGTTTTTCTGAAAAGCCATGCCAGTGTGCATCTCTCCTTTCTCACACTCTCCGCACAGCTCCGCCCCTCTCACACTCTCACTGTTCTCCAGCAACACTAAGAGAGACACAGAGCTGCTACTCTGATTAATCTGTCTGTTAATTAGCCTACAGTGCGATGTTGGTCTATATGTTGCAGGTGCTACGCTAAATGAGTCTGTGAGATGAATTAAATTACCGCAGTAGCACACATGCAGTACAGCGCTGCGCTGTATGTGTGGGAGACAGAGCTGCTTGATTGTGTAAAGTGAACGTTTTGTTTGCTAGTTTGTGTGAGGTGGATCATAGTACATCGCTATCCTTCTTGGTAGCTGTAGTCTGTTGTGACATTTAGACAGTGCCTGGATGCAGGTGACAATGACATACAAGACAAGACTTTTACAGTCATGTTGTAGTTTTGTGGCCTGTGCTACAAACCTTTAAATCTCTGTAGCTCCAGTGCTGTATGCAAAAAGTCAACGTACAGCCCTGCTGTGTGTTTCTTGTAATTTTTCATTTACATGTTGGGCAGTTATATATTTTCAAACAGGGGGAAAAAAAATCCCCGTCTTTGCATTTTATTTTGATCACAGTCTATTTTCAGAGAAGTGCTTGTGACATCTCAAATGTGGCTTTGACTTGCAAATAACATGTAGCCCTGTTTGTGGAAAATATAGAGATATATATCTTGTATTGCCATTTGGCCTTGAAAGTACCAAGATATGAATTTTTCTCCATATCGCCCAGCGATGTCTAGTACAGTAACACAATTTATGTCCTTCATTAAATTACTGACCAGTATGTTTGTTTCTATTAGTCAAAACCTGATCTGAGTGAATAGACCACCAAGCAGTTGTTTTTTATTACTTGCTAAAGGAAAGTTTACTACTGATGTGTCCTGGATACATACAGTATATTTGCACTTGGTAGTCTATAACATAAGCAGAATCAAGGATTAAGTACTTTGGAAACCAGCACCACCTCTCTCTTTCAATATGAGACCAATGAGTACCATGACATCACCTTTAACAGAAGTGAAAACATTACATATTCATTCCTCTTACTCAGTTCTGACCAAAATGTGACATGTTATTTCCTCATCTAAATGAGGAAACTTTTAACTTTAGA